TGATGTTCACGGTGAATGTATAGTCCAACATCGACTTGGTGAAATCGCATAGTTTATGACAAAATATTGGGCGCAGAGCTCGAGAGGCTAATTAGCTGAGTTGGGCAGCTGAGGTATCTAGCTGTATGAATAGCTGATTATAGCTAGAAAAAGGACCCATACTGTAACTCTATCGGTGTCGGCTACAAGCTAGTACTACTACTACGATGTTCAAGGGAATACTATTGTCTGCTCTTGTCATCCCTGCTGCTGTTGCATGGGGTCCTGATGGTCATGCTACTGTAGCTGATGCTGGCAATAAACTATTCAACGAGAATGCTAATGAGGCTGTGGCTGAGATATTGGGCGAAGGCGTCAGGATGGCCGATTACGCCAGTTGGCCCGATAGTGTCCTTCATGGGCCTGATAGCTCTGAGTGGGAGTGGTCCTCTGGTTTACATTTTGCTGATGTTGAACAGTGTCATTTTATCTACTCCCGAGACTGCAAAGATAACTACTGTGTTGTTGGTGGTATCAAGAACTATACCCGTCAAGTGGCGGACACTAGTCTTCCTATAGAGCAGAGGCAAGTGGCTTTGAAGTTCCTCATGCACTTCATGGGTGATATTCATCAACCTCTCCATGTTGGTCGACATTCTGACTATGGTGGAAACACTATCAAGGTTGATATGAAGTTCGCCAACTACGAGTATGGTGCCCTTCATCACGCCTGGGACGAGAAGATGATTGACCAGTCTCAGGCTAGTCAGTATGATGGTGAATACATCCAGCAAGACGCCAACTACAGTACCCCGCTCGCCGAGAGGGAGACGTTCTGGGGAATTACGGTGTCCGATATTATGACAGAGTTGGCTGAAGGAGGCGCCTTCCATGATAGAGTTCCGATGTGGCTCGCTGACTGCGAGACCAACGGCCTGGACGAGTGTGTGAACACCATGGCTGAGGAGTCGGCAATCATTGCTTGTGCTGATGCTTATAGACATCTTGATGGTGATGAGATCGAGTATGGAGATGTGCTATCTATGGATTACTACGATGATCGTATTAAAATTGTTAAGGAGCAACT